TAAACATTTAACGTAACAAAAAATAACAAAGAAACAACCTGAACCTAAACTCAAACTGTAATATATTCACCAATAATTCCAAACCCAGAAAAAGCTAAATGGCAGGGAGATGACAGAAGTAGCTGATGATTTCCTGCAGCTTTACTTAGAGCCATTTCTCACTATTTGTCATGTACACATATTGTGTAACTGCAACAAACAAGTATTTGTCATTAGAACTGTGATGTAAAATTGGTACCTTTTCAGTGCTGGATGAGGCTCAATGTTTAACTGATAAGCACTTACATTAAAATAAATGTTCCCGTCCCAATGAACCAACAGTATACACATCAACTTAAAACATTAAATTATGATATTTAAAACAAGCAAAAAAATCAAAATGCTTTTGGAAACTGTAATCTCAGACTCTTACAATTAAAACCATAAATCTCAGGTTTGAATGTAGAATGCATTACATGTCTTCACGCTCTGCTATAAGGGATTAAAAACTACAACAAATTTTTAAAAAGAAAGAAATCAAAACATGATTTAGACCCTCGTGATTAACACCTTAATATTAGCAGTTTTAATTGACATCTATAATATTCAAGATGCTTTTTGTATAAAATTCATTAAAAGGTCAAAAGTACACATCAACACAACATTAAAAGAGAGCAAAACAAATATTACTGTGATAATATGTAAAGACTTCGTGTCTCTAATCAGTGTTTCCTCAGGGATGTCCTGTGGGTTATCAGGCCTCAGCTGTTTCTGTGGAGCAAATGAAAAATGGGTGCTGGATGGATCAGTTAAATTTAAATAAAAACCAGTGCTGTCACCGTTAATCTCGTTAACGTGAACCGATCCATGTTAACACGTCAAAACTGGCAAATCCCCGTTAACGAGTTAACGAAGATTAGTCCCTGTGAGGGGTTAGAAGTTCACGCTAATGCCGTCATCACGACTAACACGATTAATAATTAACTCATCTGGAGAACACTCTGACTCAAAATCCTCTGAATGTTTCTGTCAACGCATTTCAGGCAGTTTGTCCGAAGTTTGTCTATTCTGCACTACAGATGGGTTGAGTGCATTAAAAATGTTTGTCGTGTTAACTTTGATGACGTGTATTAACATGATTAATGCTAACAGCACTAAAAACATTGTTCAAAATAATCAGAAAAATAGTTCATGATCACAGCCTTTTAAACAATTTGTGACATTTTAAGATTTACCCAGTGTGGTTACTTTTTTTCATCTTGATCGCCATTAAGTTCATCACAGTGTTTCTTCACCATCTCAAGATCTTTCAAAACATCTAAAAACAAAGTATTTGTTTTTATTAAATATTTATTGTTAGTGTTTGTATTGAGAGGATTCCTAACACTTTATATATTCTGTTTACCTGGCAGTGAGCAGGCCTCAGTCTTGAGTGAGTGTTCAATGGAATCCTCCATGGTTTCCTCCAGTGTCCTCAGGACAGTTTCCTAATTTATCATCAAAACCTTTGTTACTTTTTAAATAGGCAACTATTGAATCCAAGAATAACTGGACAAGAGATAAATTATTGGTTTGATATGTTTCAAGACTGCTTGGAAAAAAAAAACCTTCAAATCGTTCAACTGCTCCAACATGGCATTTTTTGCCTTTTCAAACATGTCCATCTTTGACTCCACATGTCTCTCAATAGTGTCCCTCATCCTCTTCAGGGAGCCTGCTCCTTCAAATGCTGCTGCTTCTACAAGGAGACAATCATTTTCATGCACAGTTGAATAGAAATACCAAATTTCTCTAACCATAAGGCGCATCGGATCATAAGCCTCTGTCAGTGCGCCCCAGGGCTGCTGTGGCTACAATGTAGCTTGCCATCACCAGTGTGTGAATGTGTGCGTGAATGGGTGGATGACTGGATATGTAAAGTGCTTTGGGGTCCTAAGGGACTAGTAAAGGCGCTATATAAATACAGGCCATTTACCATTTTTTTTTATAAGGCGCATTAAGCAAAACAATTCTTTCTTACCTTTGTAGCATCCTTTCATGTTACTCCTGATTGTCTCTGTCAGACTGTTGTAGATCAATTTCTTTTGTGTGAGGATGGTTTTATTGAGCTTTGTCTTCATTTTGTTTTCCTTAGAAACATGAAATACAGATTAACATTATTTAAGACAACATCAAGGTAAAATAACACAAGTTCAGTGTTTGAATGACTTTCTAATAATAGCTAAGCTAACAGGTTCATGGATAGGGAAGCTCTTTTACCTCGGTCTGCAGAAATGTCAGTTGCAGTTCGACATTTTTGTACTTTTCAATCAATGAATCAGTGCTGAGTGAAAACGCATCAATGGCCCCATTGAAATTTCCACATTTTAGGTCGTTTCTGAATGGGGCAAAGATGTGGTTTATAATAGCAGTATTAGCAAGTTTATGATATATTGCAATTTGGACACATGTATTGTTGTACATATTGATGCTGTTCAGAATTAGATTATTCTCACGGGAAGGTCTTTCTGAATTTTTTATCAATGCTTTCAGTCAAACAAGATGCTAATATCATGTTGAGGTCTTTTCGCTTCCCTTTTTTTGGTTTCTGGATGCCAACATTCTTAACTGCATACTTTAGTGTCCCGTGAAAACCGTTGTTTTTTTTCTGAAACAAAACAGAATTTTAAATTATTTTTTTTAAACACAGGGTCACAAAGTATCCTTAGGTTTTGTTCCAGTTGTAATTAAAACACATACCGGTACACTGGGGTATAAGAAGGACTTCAGTTTTCTTTCACACAAATTTTGGGATTTTTCAACTCCGTCCCGTAGGTGTTGTTCAAAAGCTTTTGTAATGTCTTCAATTGCTTTTTTGACTCGATTAAGTTGGATGCTCAAGTTTCCCTCAAGGACTGCACACACATCGTTTTTTTGTTCAACCTGAAATACAAGAAAGATCATTATTTAAAGCAGTAAAACCTCACATAATGGCTCTCGACTCGCTTTTGAGGCGGTCTTGACAAACCCAAGTTTTTAACATGAATCTCATGCATAAGTTCAGTCAAATAGGTCTGTCATCATTTGTCTGCCTCTGTCTATTCGTTATGTCACTTCCATTTTCCCACACTATTGAACTCATTACTCTAGTCCAATGATTTTTTTTTTTTGCCTTCTGCAGGCCAATCAGTCTCTATTCTCTGTGCTTTTATATGCTCTCTGTCATTCTGCCTTACAGACTTATCCATGCAACTCGCCTCCTCCCCATCTTCACCTCACTCTTCACTCAGAGCTAGGGCTGGGTATCGTCACTCATTTCTAGAATCGATTCGATCCACAATTCGATTCAATTCGATTTGATTCAATTTGAATCGGGAAATTTTGCCTCAGACATAATTCAGATCATGCATCAGTACATTTCTATATTTTTATATCTATAAAAAGAAATCTGACACTTGTGAGACATAATCAAAGGTGTGAGCGTCACAGCAGATGCCTTTGTGTCAAAGTAGTTGAGGATAAAACACAGAAAAACATGAAGGTGATTTTCCTGGCCCTGGATCTTATAAAAATATTCTGCAGTAGATCAAAAACGAAACAAAACCATTAATAACCATATGAACATTACGTGATGCTGCTGACATAAAGCAGAGATTTATTAGAGACACAGCTGAGCATTTTGCAATTTTGCATAATTTTAAAAAGTTTAAATTTGTTCAGTATTGTATAAATGAGGCTTTCTTTTCAGAAGTTAGTAAAAGGAAAAAACAGCGGCCGACAGCGCTGTAAACAACGGTAGATTTGTGTGTAACAAGCAAGCGAATAATGCAGAAAAAAGATTTTTAGATGGGAAACTGATCTTGAAGTACAGACAGAGAGAGAGAGAGAGAGAGCTGTGCATGTAGTGTGATTTTATCGAGGTGGCAGCAAAACAATAAGAGGGAATTCATGACGATGTTTATATGAAGCGTAGTTTGCTGCTTCTTTTGCTGCTGGTTCGGTCAATATTGTTTGGAGAGAGATAAAA